TAGATATTGCCAAAACTGACTACAAAATATTCTCTTGCTTATAGGTAGCCTCCTCCACATATCTGGGCAGCACTGTTTCAACTAAAAGCCGCACAGAAGAGGATGGTAAAGTCAGAATCGGAAAAGCAAGACAGGCGTTGATTAGCCTGAAACCAGTGTGGAGATTTACTGCACTGCAATGCACTCAGCATAAAGCGTGAACAACATCCAGATTTTCGCAACCAACGTCAAATCAGTGCTTCTGCATGGCTAAGAGACTTGGCGTGTCACGAAAGGCATTTCCAACAAACTGCAGATATTCATCAACAACTGCCACCTACGCTCACTCGTTACTCAAGATCAGATAGCCAGAAAGAATAAGAGTAAGCAACAAGGAACCTTGGGAGCGAACCAACGAAGAAAGAAGCTATCGCTGAACAAATATGCAGAAAAAGAAAGTGGAGATGGATTGAGCATACACTGAGAAGGCCGACTAGGGACATCACGCACCAGATGAGGCCAGGCTGTCGAGTGGAGCCGATATGGGAATCGACGACTTGGGCGTTCGACGTGAGGTTGACATGGAAGAGACAGTGTGAGGGGGAAATGAGAGCTTGTGGGCTGCCGTGGAGCCAGGTTCAAACGATTGCAGAGAAGAGGGTGGAATTGCAAGGTGCTACTAAAGCATTATGTTCCATCAGGAACCCAAAGGACAAATAACAATAATATATAAGAAACAATGGGCCGACCATTTCAAGAAGCTCTTGAATCGACCACCACCACCACCTGCACTTCGTTCAGAAATACCACCTGCAGCCGCTGAACTACAAGTGAACATAAATCCTCCAACGAAAATGGAAGTCCTGAACGCCATAAAGCTACTGTAATGCGGGAAAGCAGCAGGACCAGATGGAATCCCGCTAGAAGGACTGAGAACAGACGCAGAGACAACAGCGGACATGCTCACACCACACCACTATTGCAGAAGGTGTGGAAGGAAGAGAAGGTACCTGGCCATTGATTGGAAGAAGGGTTACCTCGTCAAACTGCCGAAGAAGAGAAACCTCAGTGTTTGCAAGAACTGGCGCGGAATCACTCTCCTGTCCACCCAGAGCAAGCAAAATATTAAGCCGCGCCATCCTGGAGAGGCTAAAGGATGCACTGGATTCAAAACTACGACCTGAACAGGCAGGCTGCAGGAAGTACAAATCATGTGCAGACCAAATTGAAACGCTACGCATCATCATAGAACAGAGCATAGAATGACAATCAGCTCTCCACCTCAACTTCATCGACTTTGAGAAGGCTTTTGACAGCGTCGATCGAGAGGTAATTCGGAAACTGCTTCATTACTACGGAGTATCGCAAACCTTTATCCACCTCATTCAACAACTATATGAAGATGCCACATGCCAAGTAATTCACAATGGGGAGCTCAGTGATGCCTTCGAAGTGAAGACAGGAGTGAAACACGGTTGCCTACTATTTCCCATGATATTCCTGATTGTGGTCGACTGGACTGGATCATGCAGCAAACAGTGGGCAGCGAGAAGAGAGTGATACGTTGGACTGCGGAGAAGAACCTAGAAGATCTGGATTTCTCCTGTGATGACTTGTGCCTGATGTCACATAAACTGGAAGATCTACAGGTGAAAACTAACAAGTTGGCAGAAGAGGCAGGGCAGCGAATACGGGACTTCAAGTGAATATAGAGAGGACAGAGATGATGAAGATACCGCACCACCACCACCAACAACAAACTCCAATCACCATCAACGGGAGAAACTTAAAGGAAGTAGCCTTCTTCACCTATGTTGGCAGCACAGTCTCAACTACAGGTGGCGGGACAGACGAGGATGTCAAATTCAGAATCGGAAAAGCAATAGAGGTGTTCATTAACCTGAAACCAGTGTGGAGATCTACTGCACTCAGCATGTGGAACAAGATCCGAATTTTCAACACCAACGTCAAAGCAGTGCTTCTGTATGGTTCAGAGACTTGGCGCGTCACGAAAGGGACTTCCAATAAACTACAGACATTGAGCAACAACTGCAGTCTACGCTGGCTCTTTACTGAAGATCAGATGGCCAGAATAATAAGAATAAGCAACAAGGAACTCTGGGAACGAACCAACGAACAACCTATCACGTAACAAATATGCAGAAGAAAGTGGAGATGGATTGGGCATGCACTGAGAAGGCCGACTGGGGACATCACGCGTCAGGCCAGTTGCTCGAGTGGAATCCCCATGGGAAGCGACGAGTTGGTCGTTGGAGGCGAGGGTGACATGGAGGAGATCATGCGAGGAGGAAATGAGAGCTTGTGGGCTGTCGTGGAACCAGGTTCAAAAGATTTCAGAGAATAGGGGTCATTGGAGACATGCTACTGAAGCCCTATGTTCCATTGGGAATGGAAGGGACTAATAATAATAATAGTAATAATAATAATAATAATAAGGTAGATCTCCTTACGCTTTTATTATTTATTGGCTGAGATTTAATTAAGCAAACCAATATAAATATTCTAAAATAGGGAGTTTTGTTTGAAATATTTAACTCTATGATTAGACCATAGTTGTTAAGAGTACTCTGAAATTTAAATGAGTACCGAATCTGAGTTAATTAGGGTTAGGGTTACCCACTTAGAATAGGAAACCACATTACTGATGAACCACGAACACGTACTTTTTGATGGTCTATTAGAAAGTCTATTTTAATATTATTAAAAATTCGAATATATTGCCAAAGAGGCTGTGGTGAAACGGTTGAAGAAATTTTGTTTTGATTTTCTAAACATACTAAAATTGTATTAAAATATTTTCTAATAATAATAGTACTACATACTCTGGTTTTAATCGTGAAATTTTCAGTAACAATGTAAACCGTTGTGTTATAAATTTTATAGAAACGTTTTCATTGATGCTTTCAATAAAAGCTTCACTGATATGTTATAAGGTACAGGTAATTAAATGTTATTGAAATTATACTTAAACTGGTACCCATCTACCACAATCTGAATGTTACGTTCCTTCAAAGTCCTTTATTCTATACGCGTATTACATAACTTTGAATGCGAACAGAAAGATTGAGATTAGAGGTATTACAACCGAAAATATTAACTGATATAATGGTATTCTTATCATGGATAGAAACTCATACATATTTGACTGAGTGAAATGAATTCACATATTATTATTATTATTTATACCTTCGTATCCTAGTGGAACATAGCGGTTAGGTAGTACGTCAACATTTAAGTTTCTTCTCTGTAGTCTGGCTCCACGACTACCCACAAACTCTCATTTCTTCCTCACATCATCTCATACACATCAACCTCAAGTCAGACGCCCAACTCATCCTTTCCCATCTGCATTCCACTCGACGATCTCGCCCAACGCGTGATATCCCAAAATGCTCTTCACAGTGTATGTCCGATCCAATCCATCTCCACTTTCTTCTGCATATCTGTTGTGCCATGAATTTCTGGTTGGTTTCTTCGCAGTCCAGAATTCCTCCTTGCTCAGTCTTATTATTCTGGCCATCTGATCTGATCTTCAGTATCGAGTGAGAGTAGGCGCCAGTTGTTGATGAATGTCCATAAATTGTTGGATACGTTTTTCGCAACGCGACAAGTCTCTCAACCATCACATGGATGCACTGACTTCAGTGGACTGAATTAATGTTGAAAAGCAGCATCTTGTTGTTTATGCTGATCTCAGATCTCAGATCTCCACTCTGATCTCAGATTGATGAAAGCCTTTCCTGCTATCTTTCCGATCCTGCCTGGCTTTGACATCCTCATTTGTGCCTATGTCAACTGTATTAGAGAGGATGCCGCCTGTCTGGGTAGGCGGGTAGGTGGAAGAGACTACTTTCTCTAGGTTTCTCCCGTTCATGATGAATGGTGCCTTTTTGTTGTTATTCTTATTGTTGTTGTTGTTGGTTGGTTGGTTGGATATATTGACCACCTCCGTCTTCTCCATGTTCACATGAATGGAGACCAGTCTTCGCTGGTCTGCCTTGCCTCTTCTGTCAACTTGTTGGTTTTCAGCTGTACATCTTCGAGATTTTGTGACATTAGACATAAATCATCGTTGGCAAAATCCAAATCTTCTACGGCAAATACACATTTAGTAATCTTCATTTCAAGCGGCTTCCTTTAATCCATAAAATTAATGGCTGTAACTTAAGATCTACAAATATCATTCTATGTCGAATAATGGTTTCTATTCGATAAATGAACTCAAACTTCTTTGATGACAATAAACGATAACAACTTTTGAAAGAAAGTAAAGAATGAGAAATTCTCCGATATCACCAAATATTGTTTTAACCGGCCTTAGATTGTCAGAATCGAGTGGTAAGAAGGCTCATTTCACTTTCTTATCATTTTTCAGCAAGATGTATCTGTGATTATGAGAAAAGTAAAGTCTTCTCGTAGATCCAAGCGTATTTCGGTCTATCGTGACGTAAGAAACTTAACCGTTCATTATAATAACAATATAAATTACTTTAAAATTTAGCATTGAAACTTCAAAACTTGCGGTTCAGGAGAAGAAGAAGAGAAAAAAGGCTCATTCATTGAAAAGCTTACAGAATACCATCGAAAAAAGAAAGACAAAGCGAAAGAGAGAATCCAGTGTTATATTCAAACTACAACTTATCTTTATATATGCGTATATAATATAAGCTATATGTTCAAGTCATGGTATCATTATCTTGGGTAAATTTAATCCAGGAATTATGAATCCGGTTGGATAGATAATGTCTAATTTATTCTTATGTGTAACTCTTCAATTCTATCTTTTCAAATGTCTACTAGAGATATCACAGTATAGAGTTGTGATTCAATGTAATAATCTTTCAATATTCAATTATCTATATGCTTATATGTGTGTATTTATATAGTTGTCTTGTTTTGTTTGTTCAAATCCTATTATAAATTATTTACCAATGTGAACAGAAAGTATTCATCAATTAAATAATATCACCTGGACTATAAAATAGTGTAACATTATTTGCTTATGTTATTGTAAGTGTATCCTTTTCCTTTGACTTTCTTTTAACTTTATTAAATCTACAACAATTTAAGTTTTTATCAATTTGTTGATTTGAGTTAAGATTTGATGATTTATTTTTATAATATTGTTTTAAACAGGTTATATTCTGTAATAGTAAACAGCATGTTTGACGAAATTTAGCTGAAAATAAAGAATAGAAAACAAAATTCATTGCAGCATTAATAATTAATAAGACATTCGATATATTAGCATAGATTAATAGGCACTTTTTAGCATATTGTGTTGGTTTAACAATACCAGCATTCCATAGATTAATAGTAATTGTCGGCACCATACTTGGAAGTTGTAGAATAACAAATGCCATTACAATAGATATCAACATTAATGTAATACGATGTTGTTCACTTAATTTTGTTCGTTTCATATTCATTATAGGAAATAATCCTGTAGATTATTAATTGAACGAAATGATTGTGTAATACTAGAGGTGATTTCAACTGTAGTTCGCATACTAGCTTGAAGTGCTTCACGCATTATAGCTGGTACTATATGACTTGTAGTCGCTTCTTGATTCAATTGTATACCACCACTATTACCATTAGTATCGAGTAATTTTATTCTTCTTGAATCTGTACTAACTTTTATCGGTGTAGCATTATTACTACTGGTTTGCTTAGTTAATATCTTACGATTATGATTAGCTTGCATTACAGAACGAACAAGTAAGCTATTGAATATGATCAATAATATCATAGGTAATATAACAAATACAGTTTGATTCATATAATCATAACCAATTTTTGTAAGAATAGGATTGAATCGAGTATCTACAACTAAATATTGTCCAATAAACGATGATGATGATGATGTTATTGATAAATTTTGTTTATTATCATTAGTAATTTCCATATATTGTACTGTTTTCTTAAAATAATCAGGTAATGTTAATGTAAAACTAATAATACATATACTAATCACTACATAACGTGCACGTTGTTTTGTACATAATCGACGACCAAGTATAGGTGAAGAGATTGCAATATATCTTTCAAGTGTAAATCCAACAGTAAGCCATGTAGTTGTATTACTAAATAAATTTGCTGTACCATGTATAAATGTAATACTATAAGCAAATGGTGCAAATAATTTTGTACATGGATAAATCCATAAAGAGAATAAACATGAAAATAGTAAATATAATAAATCGCATAAAGAAACAGCTGTCAAATAAACATTAGTTGATGAACTCATCCATTCTCTTGTTAAAATTATTATATTAACAATATTTGATATAAATCCAATTGTACATAGTACTGGAGTTAAAATTTTTCCACATATTAAACGCATTATACTTAATATTTCATCTAAATACTCTATATCATTGTCTTTCATTAGTAGTAGATTAGATATATTTGTAGTCATACTATGCATATTCTTATCATTTGTAATATTATATAATATAGGTGAATTAATAGGCTTTAATGACATTATTGTTTAGAGAATTAAATGTCTACTGATTAATGATTAGTTTTTGTGGTCAATCTATTCTTTTCTATGAAACATTTTTCTGAATATCATTTTAAGTTCATAAGATTACATATGTTGTCAAAATCGCTTGTTAGTGAATTCTTTTCCCTTATTTATTCAGTTGAATGTAGATGTGTGTGTGTGAGTGTGGATTGACGATGAATTTGTTCCGGTGTATACTTTATGTGTTTGTACCTATCCACGCGTGTATACATACATACTTATGTGTGTGTACTTGGTTACGACGGTAAGAAACAAGTCTGAGTGATAGAGAGTAGGCATCAGAGTAAATGCAAACGGAAGGATGATCCATTATGTAAATAAGGTGGTATTTGCTCTTATCAAAAAAGGAAATGCATTTCATCTAGTGTTTAACTGTGAATATAAACATTTGTATCTATGCCTAGCTGTTTAATATATATATATATATATATATATATATATATATATATATATATATATATAGACAGTGTTGAAGGACAAACATAAATGAAGGAAATTTAAAAGCCTATTAAATGAAATCTTTATTCAATTTCGCATCCACCAATGAACTAAAACATTCCCCTTTCTTTTATCGGTTGAATTTTCAAATGAAGAGAGGATAAAAACAACTACCAACTTATATGACATGTTTGTATGCACAATATACGCATATAGATAGTTAATATTTTAGAATGAATCATTTATTCTACGGGATAAACATGCTGATCAGGTCTTTACTGATTGCAACAACCAATATTGTAATGTTGAATTGACAGTTGTTAGCATTGAGATTGCTTTTTCATATACTTCTTCTATCCAAGTTTTCACTTTACCTTTAAATATAACATCCAATGAACAAATTATTTCACAATATTTTATAGCTGAATGAAATGAAATGAAGTACTAATAACTAATCATTCTTACAAGTTAATTACAAAAGGTTTGATAGTGCGGTGGGTACATACATCATTTTCTGATTGGCTTCCATCATCTTTCATAACTTTCACTTCAAGGTATGTGAAATAACTGAAAACAGATTATCAGTGTTGATTCTGCAATCAACAATTATTACAGATGATGCTGAGTAACTATTCATGTTAAACACACTTTTTTCAATTGAACTTTTAGGGAGTTGTGGAGATTTGGAAATATTTCAAGTTGTTATTCATCGTAGACTGACATCAGTTGGAGGAAAAAAGGAAACCTGAGAGCACTGGGCAGCCAGCTGTTTTGTCCTACTAGTATGGGACACCTCAGCAACTCCCTCACTATTCAATTGAACTGGTGCTCATTGGTGATTAGCTTCGAGAGGTTTTCCAGAAGTTCCAGTGAGAGGTCGTGAGCGGTGAGGTCAAAGCGTGATGGTCGTGAGGACAGTTACTCAACCATGACATTGGGTGGCGGTTGCGGTATATCGTGAGCTAACAGAAGTTGTAAATATAGACGACTGGATTCTGATCCGGTGGCTAGCTCAATGGTAACTTGCTGGCCACGGAACCTGAAGTTCGCGGGTTCGATCCCTGGTGGGGTGGGGTGGTGGGCGTGCACTGCTGAGGAATCTCATACTAGTCGGATGAAATAGCTGGCTGTCCAGCACTCCCAGGTTTCCTTTGTTCCTTCAACTGATGTCAGCCTACGATGAATAACAACTTGAAACATTTTTTCAGTTAGGTGACTTAACAATCCCTGTAGAACATATTCCTTTCGAAGGTATTGTAATATTCTTTTACGTCTATCTGGATTTTCCCTCCACAACTTCATGTGAACCATTACATACAATGTAAGGTAGATTCATTACACTTTCTCCGCTTAAAAACACAAAGTTATTCAGCGAAGGAAATTTTCTCTTAGAAAAAACACTGATTAAACGAAGAAGTATATTCCTTTTAAACTAGACCTTCGTTTTCCGCTACACACTAATATATAGTTTTACAATTTAATCAAATTACCAACTAAGTCGTGGGGGTTGATGAACAATAATCATCGAGATTTTAAGTAAGTCAAGAAGATGATAATTTAGAAATGAAGATGTAAATCATCAATTATTATTATTTTTCCCCGAGGTCCGCAGTGGAACATAAAGCTTCAGTAGCATGCTTCCATTCCACTCTCTTCTCCTCAGTCTTTTTAGCCTCACTCCACGACTACCCACAAGCTTTCATTTCCTCCTCACATCATCTCCGTGTCACCCTCGCTCAGACAGCCAACCAGTTGTTCCCCCTTTGGATTCTAGTCGAGTGCTTGGCATGACGTTTGATGTTCCCAGTCAGCCTTCTCAGTGCATGCTCAATCCATCTCTACTCTCTTCTTCTGCATATTTGTTGGATAATAGGATCTTAACTAATCAATAGAGTAATTACAATTAGAAATATGAAGTAGGTTATTGTTAGGTGAGTGGAGTGATTTTTGTTGAGTGTTCAGTCGTCCACAATGAGTGATTACGTAATAATAAGATAACAAATGGATGGTGATAGAAGTTACATAATGTTGTGACGATCACGATGATCAAAGTGGTCGAACAAACTGCAATGGAATACAAAGGTTAGGTTTGTAAATGTGGATTGCAATCGCCTCTGCTATATGAAGGAGCTGAATGCGTAATCCATGTAGTAAGTTAGTTGGTATACTATGATGAATAACTTTAAATGCTGTTATAGCATTCATTTAATGTGCCGTATCAACTAAGTGTGGAGGTGCGGAGCTCTTTATTATTCCAATTTATCTCTTGTTCAACCGTGATGGGTAGTGTTCATAAATTCTACGATTGATCTGTTTCATTGTAAGCCCATTGTAACCAGATCGATCACAAATCATTTTCAGCAGCTGTGTAATCATATTGACAGTAATAACAAACAAACATACTCGTATAACATTGACTAATTGGGTCAACAATAGGTCACTGATATAGAATGTTCCAAGGTGGAGTAGTGGATAGATTGTAAAGTTAGAAAGGAATTGAGTAGTCAGTTATCTTATTAGGAAAATATACTGTCGATTAAGCTAGTGACTAATATCTAAGACAATAAACAGGCTGAAAATAATAGGACTAATTATACAGAATAATCGGATTATTGTATTATGAGAATTTTAATGGCGGGTTCGAGCTAACATGTTAAGATGCACAAAAGTAAACCGTAGAGTAGTGATAATCAGTCTGTAAAAGCAAGATGAATGTTAAAGGAATACATAAACTCAATAAACCACTGGGACCACGTCAAAATAAGAGAATGGACATAGCTCTCCTGTATACAGAACCCAGGTTTTGATCCGTACTTTTCAGCCATTTAGCTTGACATTGTGCAGTATTTGGAAAGAAGACTGTGAGAAGTGAAATGACTAGAGTTGACTTTATGATTCAAGAGGACACTGTTACCTGACTCGAGTTTTTCTCAGGACAGGAATGCTGGATAATGCTCAGACATGCGTTTGGGAAGATAGCGCTTTGTGTGGTCTATATAACCAGCTCCATAAGAAAAGGTAAACTGATAGTCACAAATAAGACGTGACCCGAAGTGGCAGTTTGTCCTGCACACTATCTTGAATCAACTGTCAGCTGGAGAAGACCATTAGCAGTTCCACGGCATAAAATGTCGTTCTAAGAGACAATCGTTCAGTATTTCTGGTACGTTGTGTCCTAGGATAACCATTCTCGAGAAGTACTATTTATGTGGTATTGAATTGTTGAAACTGGGAGATAAGCTGATCATGAAGTTAAGTAAACCGAAGTGGAGTAGAAATCACATTTGGTAACTGCATATAGCCCTAATACTGTCAACTGTCAAATCTAGCTGAATGAAGATAACTTTCTATATTTCAGAAATTGTCTCTTGGTGAGCAGTCGGTTAGTATTGTAGCAAACAATTAAATTTTCCGGATTACCATTGGTCTGTAAAACTGCACGTATACGGTGTAAAATTTTACTAGCTGTACAGAAGAGCACTTTAAAGGCGTTTCGTTATACTTTGAGAATTTTACTAGGTCGAGCACCCGTGGCCCGTAAGGGTTGACTTCAAAGCTATCACTTCTCTTGGCGAGAAAAATATCAATCAGCCACTGGGTTGAAATCTGATCTAAGTTGTAATGTATATCTGTTACCTATTGGGTTAATTACGTTTGACGTGAAGATGAATATTGATTGTTCCTCAAATCTCCAGGAGAACCAAAAAATTACAATCTGCTCTATTCCAACTCTGTATATAAAAGTCGCGGTGATAAAATCAAGATGTGACACTTCTATTCCTAGGTAACAAATGGGATGTGAGAAGTCATTGCTAAGAATTTCAGAATTGGGGTGAATGAGTTCTCTTCTGCACCTATTTTGCTCTTATTTCTGAAAGTTATAAATATAAACTTCGGCTTTCAGTGAGTACTTTCATCAGTGACAAGATTTATACTCATTTTAAAAATCTGGATTCATTATAGAACATTGAAAAGAATAACAACATCTGAGATTTAAATATTCGGTGATTTAAAGCGAAATTAAAGAATGGATCATGATAAGATTGGCTTCATTAGCTTGCAGGTTAGCAACATGGAGCTTGGCCACCTAAGCTGCGATAGGCGATTGGTGATTAGATCCTAATTTCATTTCAATCACCAAGGCTTTTGTCAAGCTGCTATATGAATATGCGATATGTATATGTATTAGCCTGAAAGCAGTGTGGAGATCTACTGCACTCAGCATGTGGAACAAGATCCGTATTTTCAACACCAACGTCAAAGCAGTGCTTCTGTATAATTCAGAGACTTGGCGCGTTACGGAAGGGATTTCCAACAAACAATAGACATTCACCAACAACTAGCACCTACACTCACTCTTTACTGAAGATCAGATGGTCAGAAAGAATAAGAATAAGCATCAAGGAGCTCTGGGAACCAACCAACCAACAGCCTATCACGCAACAAATATGCAGGAGGAAATGGAGATGGATTGGCCATGCACTGAGAAGGCCGACTGGGGACATCACGCGTCAGGCCAG